TTGGTAGTGTCGAAAGCTGTATCTGTCCTACAATTAGTGTTGCTCTTGACCTACCTGCTTGATTCTATTGACCAGTCAGGAAGAGGAAGAGGAGCCCCCACCCCACCCCGGCAGATAGGACAGGCACGCTGAGGATGATGACGTGGATGTTCACAGGCACGCTGAGGATGATGACGTGGATGTTCACAAGGATACCCAAGGAGAGCTACTTCAGCACTACACAGCATTCAGCACCACGACGGCTATACCTAGCACGGACCATCCCATCCCATCCCCCATCAAAACAGTCCTGACAAAGGACATGCTGCTGTCCACATGTCAAAAAAAACAGCAGGACGTTCATCACAGTGCGGCATCATGCAGTCCTGATAGCCAGCCTCCTTGCGCACAAAAGGGACACAACGAATATCTGGGTGATAGGGAGGGATGTGTGTACAATTATGAGGAAATGTTGGACACCCTTCGGCACTGACGGCGGGGCGGCGACAGCAATAGATTGATAATGGCGATGGCATAGATGATGAATTCCACAGCCAAGGCGCACTGCGTCCCTGTCCCGACAGGGAAACTGTCCCGACAGGTGTCACACGAGAGTCGGTCAATAATCCAGAATCAAGTATGATTGGGCAATCCACGCAAAAAATCATTTACGTTGAAAATAGCCTGAATCATTGTCCCACCATCCCACAGTTCCCACTGGGCAGCTGCACGAATGAGTGCCATATAATGCCCGGGGCTGTGCAAAATGCAGGCAGAAATATGAGGATGGTCATTAAGGTCATCCCCTGGAGTATATATATCGTCATATACAGGTAGAAGGACAAGGAGCCGCAGGGGAAGATCGTATCCACCCCGACTCGTTCACTCTCCAAACTCCATCTACATTTCCCTCTCTCTCTCTCTCTCTCTCTCTCTCTCTCTCTCTCTCTCTCTCTCTAGATGTGTATAAGAGACAGCTCCTTGACAGTCCCAGGGGGGGGGGGGGGAGAAGTATAATCATAAATCACCACCCCTTCGTCGGCTATCTTTCTCTTCGGTCGTCTTTGTCGCCGCAGTGTGAGTCCCCTCTGCACCTCCACCTCATCCTTTCTTTTTTTATCTTTTTTCTTTTTTTTCATCATCCTTTCCCCTTATTTTGATCCTTGTTTTCTTACTTTTGTTTTCCCCCTCCCTCTTCCTCCCTCCTCCTTGCAGAGCAGACAGATCACCTTCTGATTGTCCACTGAGCCCGCCCTCAAGAGGGGCTATGGACGATCACAACCGCTCCTCTACGCTCTGGCCACCATGCGAGAGAGATGGAAGGGCGCCGAGCAATAGAGAGATGGAGATGGCGATGGCAGAAGAGAACAAGAAAAGAGAGAGGGAGAGAGAGAGAGAGAGAGAGAGAGAGAGAGAGAGAGAGAGGGAGAAAGAGAGAGAACAGAGAAAATCACCTGAGGGATGAAGATAGGCGAACACAGAGAAAAAGAAGAGGAGGGAGGGAGACGGAGATGGGAGACAGAAAAAGGAGGAGGACCAAGACAACGAAAAACGGGGCTAATGCAACAGAAAGTGACTGCCATCTTCCCCCGAACACAACGCACCCTCATTTTAACTGTATGGGACCGGAAAGGTACCTTGTATACATTCATTATAAAGGGTGCGCCGTGTTCGGGGGAAGACGGTATTCAAGCAAATTCCAGTGAGGGAGGAGGATACGGGAGACCCTCTCGCAATAAGGGTAGGGTATATTTTTATATCTATTTATCGTCTATATAATATATTGTCACATAATATCAGAGCGCCAAATATCTAATATCTATATATAGCCTGCCAATGAATGGCAGAAACTCCAACGGAATAGTCTCTCACAGCCCCTCGTTTGTTGTCCTCTCCTCTTCTCCCTCTCTGCATACGGTTCACCCACAGCAGTTTCTATGACTATATGTACATATATTGTCACAAGAGTATCAGAGCGCACATGCGAACAAAAAGGAAAAAAGAAAGAAAAACAAGAAAATATAGACATATATCTTGTTATTTTGCAGACAAGAATGTTTGACGTCCTGGTTGGTCTTGTCCCGTCGTTTGGCCTGTGGGCAGGGGCGGTGCTTGCATGTGGGACTTGTCATCTGGGATCTGTTTTGTTGCCCCCTGTTCTGTCTGTTTTATTTGGCTGTTCCCTTCCTCTCTTCTTTGCCTCTTTGCCTTTTGGCTGTGTGCACGTGGGTCGATATGACACACGGGGGTGGGGGCAGCCGCCGCTCAACCTACATCCACGTGGGCGGCCTTGTACGCAAGAGGTTCTCAACAGGGGGAGTTGTAAGAAAGAAGATATAAAAAAACGAATTAAGTTTTTTTTTTTTTTTCCTTGGTTTCTTTCTGTTTTTTTGCTGTGGCGCTCTGATATCATGTGACAATATATTGTCACATTGTGAATCAGAGCGCAAAAAAGGAAAAAGAAAAAAGGAAAAGGAAAAAAGGGAAAGGAAAAAAGGGAAAGGGAAGGAGGTAAGGAAAGCTCCACCTGTTCATAACCTCTTACGTACAAGGCCAGCCACGTGGATGACAGGTTGAGCGCTGGCTGCCCCCATCCCCGTTCTTTTTTTCTTTTTTTCTTTCTTTTTTCTTTTTTTCTTTTTTTCTTTCTTTTTTCTTTTTTTCTTTTTTTCTCTTTTTCTCTTCTTCTTTTTCTCTTTACCTGCCCCCACCTCGGCAGATAGGACAGCTACGGTGAGGATGATGTGGATGTTCACAAGGATGCCCAAGGAGAGCTGCGCCAGCACAGCATTCTGCAGGACGGCTAGCACGNCATGCAAGCGAGTTTTAAGGGGGTCCACACCACAGACAGTGAGCTCCGTCTGGCTTTCCCGCGAATTTCATAACATGACGTCGGCGTTTGAAAAGCCCGCCTTCCCCGCAAGCACTTCCCCCTCCAACACACACACACACACACACACACACACGCACACATGCACACACACACACACGCGCACGATGCATGCACGATGCATGCATGCACACGCAACCACGCACGCGCGTACGTCCCGACTTATCTACTCCTACCTACTCTGCTGCCGCGACGTAACTTTCGTCTGTCTATTTCTCCCTTCTCTCATTCTCTCTCACCTTCGCTTCTGTCCCTCCTCTCCCTTCACTCCCTTCTCGCCTTTCTCTCGTCTCCTCACCCTCTCTCTCCATCCTCTCTTGCTCCTCCTCCTCCACCTCCTCCTCCTCCTTGTCGAGCTGTAGCTCGACGAACACATGGGCGACTGTCTGGCCATCGGCTAAACAGCTATGGATAGGCATAGCGAGAGATAGACTCAGTGACCGAGACACAGGGACACAAAGAGTGTCTGCGCGCGCGCGCGCGCGAGAGAGAGAGAGAGAGAGAGAGAGAGAGAGAGAGAGAGAGAGAGAGACACACATAGACAGAGACATAGACAGAGACACAGAGAGAGAGAGAGAGAGAGAGAGAGAGAGAGAGAGAGAGAGAGAGAGAGAAGAGAAGAGAAGAGTCCCTCACCTCGGTGTGGCATGCGTCCCGCCCAAGCAAGCAAGAACCGCGAACGCCGCTGTTAACGGGAAGTTGCTCGACTCTGTGTGACGCTCGCCTCCCCCAAACTCACTGGCTGTAAACGGAAGTCGGCTGTCTGATGGAGGTGCGCAGCCGTCGCAAACGGAAAACAGATTATTACCGGCCTGCTGATTTTGCCTTGGGGCCCTTCAAACACAGTCCCTAATACTCTGTTTTTGCGCAGGCCTGCTGATTTTGCCGTGGGGCCAGTCCATAATACTCTGTTTTTGCGCAAGCCTGCTGATTTTGCCTAGGGGCCCTTCAAATCCGCCTCAGGTGATATCTGCCTCGTTCTTATCCGGTTTGAACGACAAACTCCCAACTAACTTCTTCCCCCGAATATAACGCACAGTCATTATAGATGTATTTTGACTGAAGGATACCCCAAATGCAGCTATAACGACCGTCCGTTGTATTCGGGGGAAGAAGGTAACAAGAAGTTGCATTTGCATTCGATTTTGTGCGAACTCGGCTGCCCGAATGAGAGTACAGGGTTATTTGCCTGTCTATGAGATGACAGGGTTTTGCCGTTTGGCTTTAGTTCTTTTGGATGTTTTTAGTTTGGCTTTGCTTTTTGGCTCTTTGGCTTTTGGCCTTTGTTTTCTGCTTGCACTGGATACTGTACAATAGGCTTTCTGATGTTTATTTAGTTGTGTTTTTTTTTCAGCACCGTAACCCACCTGAGTATTTTACGATAGTACCATCTGGCACTAGGTCCCTGTTGGTCGTACGACTAGGCCCAGTACGGTGCCACTAGTTCGCCGCTTAATACATGCGCCACGTTTTGGCTTGGACCAGCCTGTCATTTTCCAAGGACTATAATTAGGATGACAGAAACGCTACGAGGTCTTTTCGGGTCCGACGCCGTCTAGTCTGCCGTCATTCCGGAGATGTCAGTGGGCGCTAACGGCGGAGGTGGGAGAGTGGATAGTTCGGTGAAGTTTGAGGGAGAAGTAGGAGGTAATCCCCCTGAGGAGGACAACGTGGCGGCTGTCGAAACCGGTCGGGGTGCCAATACCCACCGGCGTTTTCTTTCATCAATCAATTTTTCATATACTATCTGTATATGCATGACGTCTCTTACGTGTACATGGTTTTCGTGTACTACACTCTGAATGTTCCATCATCAATCAATCAATCTCGAAGGCTCATGTGAACCGGTTGGGAAGTTGCTGAGCTCGTGTGAACATGCTATGAAGTGTAACTCTATTGTCTACTATCTGTTGTGGTGCTTACTTGATGCTGGTTCTAACTCGAAGTACTTTGGAGGTTTTACGCACGGGCTGCGCCCATCAAGGGTGCAATTTGGTGTTGAAGTGCATTTTACTCTAAGATTGAAATGGCTGGCTACGGAAGTCGCGACTACGGACGTGACTCGGATCGTGACCGCGACCGATACCGCTATCAAGATGACCGCCGCGAAGGACGATCTGACGGAGAGCGTGACCGAAACAGAGATGGAGAGAGAGACCGTTTTGATGGAGGACGTGTACAAGGTCGCGGATACTCGCATGGAGACTCAGTCCGCCGATTTGTTCCTGTTTGTTACAGTTGCGACGAATCGGGGCATTATAAAAACCAATGCCCGTGACGAGTGGGCGAAAGCAGCCTTGGTGCTGGCGGTCAATGAGGACGATCTCTTTCCCCAAATCAACATGCGAGAGCTGGTATACGGAGGTCTGCATCAGAAGAGTCGGTCATCACGAAGGAACTGGAAGAACTCAAGAGTATGTTGGCGAACGTGAAGGCTTACATCGACGCAGAACAAGCCCGTAAGGATGAAGCGGAACGGGCGAAGAAGGAGAAAGAGCTTCGCAAACAAGAACAAAGAGAATGTGAGCAGAAGGAGGAGGAAGAACGTCAACTCAAGGCAAGGCGCGCTAAGAAGAAAGAAGAGAAGAAGCGGAGTGAACTGAAAGCAAGAAAAGCGATGCGCAAAGGCCTAAGGATGAAGATTAAGAAGCACGTGAGTAGAGTAGCAGAGGAGATGAAAGAGATTCTGCTACAATCGATACTTACGTCTAAAGGGAAAGCACAAGTGTCGTCGCCTGAGGCATCTGAAGAGGAACTCGATGAAAGTGATGTCGACGCTCTTAGTGCGCAAGCGGAGCATCTCAACATTCAAGAGAAGCGGAAACGCAGTGCTGAGAAGGAGATTGGCGACAGCCCGTCGATGATGACACAGGGCCAGACGACACGCGAAGCAAAGCAAACTACATCCTAAATGCCTTGTGCTTAGTTGTCGCCATCGCCCGTTGAAGAAATCACCAAGAGGCGTTACACCCGTTTGCGCATCATGCAGCAAGAAGAAGATCCCGGCACAATCGGACCTGTGGGTAAACTGAGGTACGTTACTGATAACTTGCGCGACCTGGGTCGACGCACCGTTGAGGAACTCGAGCAAATCTGTCATGACGAGGACGTGTTATTTTTTGGTGGTAAGAAAATGGACGCTATCATGGCGATTACGGAAAAGAGAGTGCAGGTGGTTTACAGATCCTACGATGAAGATAACGCAACGGAAGGTGAGCAAGTACAGGATCCTGCCGAGCAGGCAGTTGCCGAGGAGGCAAATGATAGCGATGCTGAAGCCGATATGTGAACAACCCATGATTTTTGGAGACTGGGTAAGCCTCTGATCGCCATTCGTAATGGACGTAATTATGATGATCGAATTGAGGTGTTGTACCGGTTGGTCCTAGTCCTGCTTGGACTTTGTCATCAGATCAAATGGTTACGTAAATTTGAAGACGCATGGCTTAAGTTGTATTAACGCTGTGGTATGCGAATGTTTAGTGGCGAATTAGTTGAGGTCTATGTTTTGACATCAGCAGTTTGTCATGCTCAATATATTGGCCAAACAAAGCGTGAGGGCAAGGTGAGATGGAGGAAACATCTGTCAGTGTGCAGTAGGGGCTATAAACAATCTCATCTGTACCGATGGTGGCATTCCTTCGGTTCCAAATCCTACACTATGCTACCTATCGATGAATGTAAGTCTGATGAGCTACAAACACTAGAGTTGTTGTATATCAAACGTTGGTCCCCCGTACTCAATAGCTCGAGTAAGTCAACCGCTATTAGCCATAAACGGACTTGGCAACGGAAAGGGAAACGGGAACACTGTAAAGCGATTTTACGTACCTCTGATGGGAAGCAAGTGAATGTGGTTAGGGCGAGCATCGATGACAATAAAGAATGGTCTGTCGACGTCTTTAAATTACTAGCCCAGCAGGAAGCATCTAACCTACGTAAGTTTACTCTACGGACTACTAAAGGGGACAGTTAGTGTGGTGGATGAAAGTCGGTAAGAGCTGCCTTTGGGAACTCCGAAGTCCTGTTACGAGGGCATCACAAGAAGCTCTATCAGTGCAAATCAGAGCTGCAGGGGAGATTTTGCCTGAAAATCATTCAACTCAGATGCTGGAGACCAAAATCGGGTCCGGATAAGTTTTTTTTGTGTTCACTTCTCCGTAACCCGAAGCGAATGCAAGCCCTGAAGACATGCTGTTTAGATGTGCTGATCCGATTGTTGAAGACCGCCATTGATTTCCAAAAACCCTTGACTACTGTGTACCTTCGTCGATTAGTCTCTAGAACGGTTAAGGAAAAATTTGGATGGAATGTTAGTGTTAGAATCATATTAAGACTGAAATTCAATGATCGAGTGCATGTGCTTGAGATTAGGAAGGTTGTCAACGATGTGCTAGAGGCTGTCTATATCCCGCGATGCATTAAGGATGTTTCACGTAACACGGTTCGGATAGTATGGACCAAAAATCCATCTGTTGCAGACACACTACACAATCAGCGCGTTTTTGGGAAAGTTGATGTGTTGATCTGCGCTTGTGCAGATCTTCCCTACCCGAAGGTAGGAGGTCATGTGCAAGTCCGTTTGCAAGAGCCGGAAGGTATTGATCCACTCCTGTGTAATGCGAACAACATTCCGAAACATACTCACCATGACCGACAGGGTCTTCTAGTACAATAATTGAAGGACTGTTTTCATTCTTGGGCCAACAAGAGGGGGAAGGACGTCGTGCTTACTAGACAGGATGTTGAGAGATGCATGTTAGTTAAACACCAGGGGAAAGATATGTTGTTGGATCCACGAGAAGTCAAGCGGGTCAAGACGATGTTGAAGGGGTTAGTTTTGACGTCGTTGGACAGAAACACAGGGGAAACCCTGGTGCTATGTCCCAAAGTGTATTACGAGGCCATGTTGGACACCTTCAAGTTTATTTTTTCATAAGGATATACTATTGAAGATTGTACGAAGTCTGAGATCCTGTTTTCAATGAGAGAGGAGGCGAGAGAGTCTAATCTACAACAATTCGTGAGATGGGATAAAAAGGGCCAGATCGGTGAGGCATATGTATTGCCTAAACACAAGGACCTATCTAGATATAGGCCTATTTGTCCTACCTATGCTGAGCCTGCAGTGCGCACCAGCAGAGCCACAACCAAGGCATTGAACCACATGCTTTCCACTTTACCACACGAGTGGCATTTCAACCTCAAAGTTTTTTCGCATCTAGTACCAGAACTATAACGAATTAACAGCAAGTTGTTGCGACACATGCGCGACAACTCTGAGCTGATATCCATGTCCTATGACATAAAGGATATGTTCAGCAAACTACCTCACGAGGAGATTATTCTGGTTGTCGTTTGGGTTCTAGACTACCACTCGCGAAAAGGCAGACAGTCGATACGAGTGAACATAAAAGGTAAAGGGTGCTCTTTTGGCCTCACCATAGGCGACGACCATTAGAGAAAGTTGACTTTCTCAGACATCAGTAAGTTTGTGAGGTGGGAACTCCAGCACACTTACACTAAGGCTACAGGTGTTATCTTGTGGCAAGTTGTAGGTGTACCGATGGGAAAAAGTTCCAGCCCACCTTTGGCGTGCCTGATGTGCTCGCACGCTGAGTTCAAGTTTTTGCAAAGCCTAGGGACTTGTCGATTGGATGTGTTTGGCATCAGGCTCATGGATGATGTGAGTCTGCTGATACACCAGGATGCTAATGGGCGTATATCGGTGCAAGTGATTAAGCAGGAGTTTGAGCACTGCTACCCTGCCAATCTGAAGCTGAAACGGACTGATGAAGGGCAAGGTTATTGGGACTTTCTGGGCACTAAGATGAGTGTGGACACGATGCACCCATATGTGAGGTGCGTATAGTCTTCAAAGAACGAAGACTCGATGTGGCAGAACAACTCTCTGGAATTTAAGAACGGACAAACCTTTCATTTCGTGGTCAAGCAAAGCACAGAACAGTGGTGTTGTCGACGCTGTGCTGCATCCTATCGATCGGAATACAAATGTTACAGCAGTCATTCCCAGGCGAGTCCTCAGTGTGCAGCGAGAGCTTCGGATTAAAAAGCTTCTAGAGAATTCCCTGAAGGAAGTTTAGAAACGTTTTGCTATGGGAAGAGACCCCATCCGGACCTAAACATATCAGTGGGTGTATGAGCCATTTTGAGCCCTGTCTCATTCTTGTGACAGTGAAGTTGTTCGTTTGTTCCTTATTGTTTCTTGTAGTTTTTGTCGTTTTTACCAACAGACGTAAGTCGGATTTGCCTCTGTTTAACGAATGTAGTAGTTTTGACTCGGAGAGTACAGGGTTATTTGCCTGTCTATGAGATGACAGGGTATTGTCGTTTGACTTTCGTTCTTTTGGATGTTTTTAGTTTGGTTTTGCTTTTTGGATCTTTGGCTTTTGGTCTTTGTTTTCTGGTTGCACTTGATACTGTACAATAGGCTTTCTGATGTTTATTTAGTTGTGTGTTTTTCCGGCTTGGGAGTACCGGATAATTTTTTCGCCACGGTAACCCACCTAGTTTAATTTTTTGTTTGGTTTTAACTTGAGTATTTTACGATAGTACCATCTGGCACTAGGTCTGTTGGTTGTGCAACTAGTCCCAGTATGGTACCACTAGTTCGTCGCTTGATACATGCGACGCGTTAGACTGTCGTTTTCCAAGGACTATAATTAGGATGAAAAGAACGCTACGAGGTCTTTTCGTGTCCGACGCCATCTAGTCTGCTGTCATTCACGAAATGTCAGTGGGCGCTAATGGCGAAGGTGAGACAGTGGATAGTTCGGTGAAGTTTGAGGGAGAAGTTGGAGGTAATCCCCCTGAGGAGGACAGCGTGGCGGCTGTTGAAACCGGTCGAGGTGCCAATACCCACCGACGTTTTCTTTCATCAATTTTTCATATACCATCTGTATATGCATGACATTCTCTGCTGTGTACATGGTTTTTGTGTACTTACACTCTGAATGTTCCATCATCAATCAATCAATCGGCTGCCACAAAGACGGCCTCACTTCAAAAAAAAAAAAAAAAAAAAAAAAACGACGTTAAGTCGCAACCCAAAATGGCCCAAAGGAAGGGACTGGTACCCATAGCCACCCAACAACAAGGACATCGACACCATTAGCATCGGACCGGATTTAGCAGACAACGGGTGGCTGAGAAGCGGGGTACATGGGCAACCTTCTAATAGTATCATGGAACGTCCGTGGTTTAAGAGGGCGATATAAGGTTGAAGTCCTGGCTACATAAGCATAAGGTTCATAAAGCAATGTTGCGAGAAACAAAGTTGAGTGAGGAAAAGATAATAGGACTAAGAGCTTGGTGGGATGGTCCTCAGTTATGGGCCTCTGCGAATGGGACGGGGGGGGAGAGAGGGCTGCATCTTAGTTCGCAGATTGCTAGATGCTGAGATTGTTGATTATGAGGTAGACAATTGGGGAAGGTGGGCATAGATTAAGTTAAAGATTTGTGGTGTACAACGGGGCATAATGACTATATATGCCCCGACAGATAGGTAAGAGATAATAAAGTTTTCTCAGAACCTGATGAGTCACACTCCTGACATAGATAACCTGCAGATAATTGGGAACTAGAACTGTGCGCTAGACAAACTTAATGCCTCAGCGCCTGGGGCGGCAGACACCACAGTCTCGTTGGAATACATGTTGGAGTTAGAGTTATCAGACCCTTTCAAGTTTATGTACCCAGAGGACCCAAGTTGTGTGTGGTTCTTAGCAGCGGGAGAAGGTGGGAAAGTAGGATGTCACCGAAGGTTAGATTATTTTCTTTCAAACCCACACTGGAAGGAATCCCTGCTACATAATAAGGTCATCGCAGAACTGGTCTCAAATCACAATCTGATCCTCTCGTTCTTCAGATTGGCGGATGCATTGGAGCGGGGTAAATGCTACTTTAGATTGAATACACATACGCTGAAGGACCTTGGAATTTCAAAATGGACAGG